CAGTTTGAAATGATAAAATCCTAAATTTTTGATGAAAATCAAAAGACGTTTTACACAGTTTTTTGTAAACTGGCCCATTTTCTAGTTTAGTCATTTTCAGTAGTTGTGTGTTTAATGACCAATGATGCATTTCTGAATCTGAGACAAAAGGGAGTAGGAATGCAAGTAAATATCGACACAATGACACATTGCAATTTTCCATGTCATGATACTGAATTGATATTAAAAAGCATTGCATCAATCGTTATTGAAATTTTACATGCAAATTTTGGTTGGTGCCATTCTAACTCCGGCCACTAGGTTTTTACCGACTGAATTCTGACAGAAGAACAAATGGTAAATGGCTTGTATTTGATATAGTGCCTTATAGAGTCCTAAACACCCCAAGGTGCTTTACAACACAATCAGTCATTTTCCTGCACACATTCACACCCTGGTGGTGATGCGCTACAATGTAGCCACAGCTGCCCTGGGGCTCACTGACTGAGACGAGGCTGCCACCAGTCCCTCTGACCGCCACCAGCACGAAATGGGGCTGAAGTGTCTTGCACAAGGACACAACAGCAATGGACTTTGTACATGTAAGATGTGCATATACATGTAAGATGTACATATACATGTGCATCTTCAGGGTTTCCCCCAGCACCTTATAAGCCTGGTGGCCCGCTTGGCCACCCGCCAAGCTAAGCGTCATGCCCCGCCCCCCTCCCCGACCATACCGTGTTCGCTGACACGAGCGACACAACAAAACTAGAGCCCTCTATCAGCTAATAATGGTGAGAAACAGCAGCAGAACATGTGCAACCCCCCCACCCCCACACCTGCTCTCATGGAGGAGCGCTGCTGGATGGTTGGGGTTAGGGTTAGGGTGGCCAGAAAATCTCCACAGGCAGGCTCTTTACTTCATTTGTAATGTCAGTTCCACAATGGAAGCATCGGCAGTGAGAAACGGCAGCAGAACGGTTTACTCCCGAACTTCAAAGACACGGGAGAGTCTTGGCAGCGGCACAGCTTCCTCGCTCTGCTCTTCGCTGGACTTGCGAGATCACACGATCTCTCAAGACTTCAGGTCACGGTTTATTTATGCAATCCACCAATAAACCAAAAGAAGGAAATCAGGTTTGATATCGCTGTTTGATGTCATAGATGATGTTGTTCTTCTCCACTGCCAGGATTAAAGCCATGAAAAACACACTGCTGCACTCCTGGAACGATGCTGTGAGTAAATAAGCTGTTGGGTCACACGTAAGCTTCATGCATATGAAAACTGCATTGCTGCAGTACTTTATTTTGAAATTTACCGGTGATTTTACACTGAAACTGTGTGTGATCTCCTGTCTATCCATAAGTTAACTGCGGAAATTGACGCGCCGCTAAAGTTGGGATCAGGTTCTATATGAGCAGCGTGCCGCTTCTGGGACGCGCCTGGAAATTGCTGCTTCGCTGCTGGTTTGAAACACTCCATAGTCTGTAATGGATTCTACTTGAAGCAGTGACATTCCGCGCCGCTGATGCTTTCAGTGTGAACCCGGGCTGAGGATGAGCCCGGTGACCCTAGGAAACCTATTTTAACCACTTGCTGAGGCAAGAACCCAAAGCCAGAGGAAGTATTAGCTCGAATTTGGAGAAGCCACTTCTAATCCCACTTGCTTCACCCAGGTTACGGCAAGTATTTGAAAAAAACTCAACTAGTCTTCTTCTTGTATGTTGAAGTAGTTTCTCTTCTTATCCAATATGATTCTTTAGCTCAGAAACATCTCCATAAAACAAGAAACTAAATTAAATTACTTCCACTTAAGGACCCCATGTTTAACATGGTTTATAAGTTCCAATCTAATAAGGAGAAATGTTCTACTCTGAGGTGAAGAACGTATGTAGGGTTGTTTCTGCTTACCCAGAAAAACTCACTGAAAGGACATTTTTCCTTACAGGACCACAAAGCATGTCAGAATTGTGCTTTAGAGTTGGTGATGACTATGGACAACCATGATATATGCCTTAATCTCAGAAAAACTCAAATTCAACACTGAATCTTCTCTTTAATTTAATAAATGTTTCAATCATGCACCGACAGGCTAATGGGGGTTGCTTTATTTTGACTTTCTGTAGGAGAATAACCCCCTTGTACAAATTTGACCACATACTGAGTGTTTAATTACACTCAGTAAGCCTCTCAGAAAAAAAAGTGTCTCCTTAGAAATTTAAGCAACGTGACTGGAAAGTGTTCTCTGCTACTTTAGCCTCAAAATGTAAACGAGGTAAGGGCAGAGGCTGGTTCAGTGAATGGAAAAATCATTTAGAAATGCAAAGACTCAGATAACCCGCACAAGTGACATCTCTCTCATACTCACAAACACAGCCCTCCTACATCAGCTTTCTATCATAAAGATGACATTTCCTTTTTGAACTCAGGTTTCTAACTGAGTCAGTGGTGTAGCACTTTTCTTGCTGCTTGAGCTGAAAGCAGCTGTACTTTGGCCATGGCATAAATGCATCTCCAAGCTTTTAAATGCAAAAATACACAAAGCTGTGAAAGAGCACTTGCCTCATTAAAAATATCTTTGCATTTGCTTTATAATCACAATTTAATGTTTCAATTTCAGGCCTGATTACCTGAGTAAACTCAAAACACAGTTTTGAAATGATGATTTTCTGAAGAAATCAAAGAAAAAAAAGAAGCCAGAACAACATCTAAAGCACTGCAGGTCTCATTCAATCAAAGTTAAGGTCAGAGGTCAAGTATAAACAATAAGAAAAAAGACGAGGGAAAAATAATGGCCCAGTCCCAATACTCGCACTTGCACTCTTGCACCCTTCAATTGCGCGTTCCCGGCCAGGGGTGCGAGTGCGTAGGGAGTCCCAATTCTCAAGTGCGGAAGTTGACCACGCCTCCATTGCACCCTTAATCTGCACTTCACCCAAGTCCGCAGCGATGCGGACCTCGGGCAAGGGTATTACCCACAAGTCATTGCTGCAGGAGAAATGGCAAAGTTCCTTTTCTGAAAATATATATTTTCGAATAAAATTAGTTAATGTTAGATGATTAGTTGATGCTCTAAAACTTTTTGACAAAGCAGCAATAAATGTAAATTGATTTCAAATAACTGTTTGGCTGTTTGTTTTAAAGTTGTTAATAAAGGTTTTTGAATAAGTATCACGGCGACCAGCATCCCGGCATGCATTGCGATCGATGATGCAATGCTCCCTGTCTCAATTCTGCAATTATTTGCACACTTGTGCACTACACACTCGAACCCTACTGCACACTTTCTCCAAGTGCACTTTGCTGAAGTCTGCAGGACGCAATACGAGTATTGAGATTGGGCCAACATCCATGGGTTAATCCTGAACCCAAAATCGTTGGCCCAAAAGAACACAAAGGGTGTTTCTCAATGTCAAGGCGCCTGGCCTTGCGAGGCGATGTCTTGCAAGGTCAGGCGCCTTGCTTACAGGGACAATGTCCTTCCTTGGTCAAAGAAAACGGTTAAATGGAACAAACTTGCATCACGTGAACATGGTTTCCACGGCGGTCGCGTAACATCACGTGACACGGGCGAGAACGTTATATTTTATACGCATTCGTTTCAAAATAATATATAGCGAGACTTTTACTTTTTACATTGTGTATATATTTGTTAAATTAAATACAGAAGCGAGTTACTACCCACTAGCCACTGAAGCAGCAACTACTAAGCAACTAACCAACCATAGATAACTTCTTTAGATCTAGAAAAAAACATTTTAAATTGGTTGACTTATACTTAAACTTGACATTTGTTTTAGGCTTACGTCATCATTTTTTAATTAGTCCCGGTAATACCGAACACCGTGGTAAAATGTGGAGGAAGTTGGACGGTATAACGTCCAAGCCTAGAGCAAATATCTGGTCACATCACTTGTGTATTATTTTATGTATGTATAAGATTTCCCTCCAGTCAGTGATTTCCACAAATCCTGTCATGACCTCTACAAAAGCAGGCTGAAAATGGGAGAAACATGGATGCAGTCAACCATCAGCTTACACAGCAGAAGAGAATCCAATCATATCAGCATTCCAGTTAAACCTCTATCCTTACATTCCTGTAAATAACTTGGCTGAAGAAAAAGGTCCAATTGCTTTGGATAATTTAAACATCATAGATTTTTTTGCAGAGAAACCCATCTGTTTTTTCTTATCTCAAGATCTGATGTGACACAATGCCACGGTGCAAAATAAAATTCCGCTTGAGCATCATCCACCATCGCATCACGGGGGGGGGGGGGGGTAAGAAGAAACAGTTGACAAGGTGATAACTGCCTGATGCACAAGTGAGGATTGCAGTACACATGCCAGAACAGGGCATACATCTTCCTCACCTGCTAATTTTAAACAATCATTCATAGTGATAAATAATGACCCCTCTATCTAGTAGCCTATCAATCAGTGCTGCAAGGACTAATTAGTACCATGGAAATTCAGTTAAGTGCACAGACAACTGCTGTGTAGCGTTAGTGTCGTTGTGTGCAACAAATTAGGCATGATTTCATTAATAAAATGCAATTTGCATGACTGCAAGTGTGTTTCCTTGGCTGTGCATGTGCGTGTGCGTGTGTGTGTTCAGGGTGCTGGAGAGATAATGATCCTGTTTTACACACTTCTCAGCGTGCAGTTTGTTCACACAGTTTAAAAATCTGCCACTTTCTGAAACAATTGTTCACAATAATCTTTCTTTTCCACTCAGTGCGTGTTCAGACATGACAGCTTCCACCTTGACCTCAGGCTGGAACGGCTCCACATGTCTGCAGCCCATCTCAGAAAAACAAACTGGCTTTTTTTTATTTTTATGAAGCGCTCCAAGTTCATCTAAAAGCATTTATCTTACTTCATGTAACATCACGCAGCCACGTGTATAGAATAACAGCGCGTGAGCTGCCATGGAGATGTGCATCTGAGACGCAGCGAGCTGCTTCAGCCAGGCTAAATAAAACATATAAATAAAAACAAAGGTTTTAGATCTTACCTCCTCTACTGTGAGGGGCATGCATATCCTGTACTCCTTCATTAACATCTTCCTCTACGCGTTCCCGCTATGTTTTCACAATCGGTGCCTGAGCCGCTCAGTAAGTTCCCTCAGCCGCCCGACAGGATGTGTGTGTAGAATCTGATGATGTGTCAACACATGTGAGAGCACGCGCTGACAGCCCGAGTTAGAAAATGGACCCCGAGTTACGCTCGACTACTTCTTTCATCGGAACCAGCAGGCAACCTCTCCAGCATCGGATATGAGTGTAGAAATCAGCTCGTACGGTTCTGGATTGTCTCCTCCTACCGAACTCACGCGTCAAGCTGCTGCTGGAAAACACGCAGCAAAAGCCGAAATCAATGTACGGACTTTCAAAATAAGAGCGCAACGCAATAAAATGTCACTAATTGGCATTTTGAAAGCGTTTTATTGTTTACATTTGAATTTATTTCATAAAGCACTTTACAATAACAATAATAACAAAAAACAGCAATTCAACAAGGGAATATAATCAGAGATAGACTATTTAAAGAGCAAGTCACCCCCTACAAGAAACTTACTTCACTCCCTCTTCTTGTTTGAAAAAGGCAACAAATGCTGTTGCCTAGCAAACCGAGAGGACGGAGCCGCTAACAAACACACACACACACACACACACACACACACACACAGGCTCACAATGGCATTGTGACATCATAAGGACCAGTTTACATCATAGCATACCTCTTAGCCAATAGCGGTGGCAGATTTAAATTCTAATGCAGTGCAGAGTTCTTACCTGACAACGGCACAACACTGATAGTTTTAGGCAGAAAATCACAATTTTAACTAAATAGAATAGAATAGAATAGAATAGAATAGAATGCCTTTATTGCCACTATACAGGTGTAAAGTGAGATACAGAGAAGTGCAAAACTATTAACTACACGTGCCTGCAGCACGATTAGACACACATTTATATAGTTTATCAGAAAAAAAGTTGATTTGGGGGTGACTTGCTCTTTAATGAATAAAATGTAACTAATAAAAAAACTGTAAAAATAACAAAGAATGTCATTTGAAAGCCACAGTATTTAAAAGTGCATTAACTTCTCCCAAGCTTAGGGCAGAGCTGATGTGCAGGGGCAATTTGTTCCATAGGCCTGGAGCTGCCAATGCAGCAGCTTGATAACTTGTTTTTTTTTTTTTTTGTTTTGTTTTGTTTTTTTTTTATCTTGGAACAGAGCAAACCTTTTGGTCCAGAATGTTTGGGGAGTGATGTTGATCCATTTGGCTCACTGAATAATCAGTGAATTAAGTACATAATCTAGTAACTAAAAACGGTTACAAATAATTATGTTACAAATTTCAGGATAGTTTCAGTTAACTAACTTACCATTGTATTAGAGTTTTAGAATTCTAGAAAAAAAAGCTCACACATAAATCTCTTTACTGCTTTTTCATTTCCTCTCCCAATCAGATGCTAAGAAAAAAGAAGAAAATATTGTTTCTATAGCGCCTCTCAAGATAAAAATCACGAGGTGCTTCACAAAAACAAAAAATGTAAAAATAAAAAAAGAATTTAGAAAATGGTTTAAAATATATTTAAAATGAGCAAAGAATAGACAATTGCGATTAAAAAATGTAAAGAAGGAGAGAGAGTGAATAGATAGGGGAATCAGCGGATCCTGAGGAAGGTGGAATAGGTAGGCAGAGCCGAACAAGGAGAGGGTGATGAAGGTCATACAAAAGCTAGCTTGAACAAGTGAGTCTTCAGCTGCTTTTTAAAGGAGACCACTGAGTCCACTGATCTCAGGCTCAGGGGGAGAGAGGTCCAGAGTTTGGGGACCACAGCAGCAGATGATCTGTCACCTTTGGTCTTTCGCCTGGTGCTGCACAACCAGAAGGCTTCGATCACTGGACCTCAGGGACCTGCTGGGGGTGTAGGGACTAAGAAGATCACCAATGTAAGATGGTGCTTGTCCATGTAAGGCCCTATAGACCAGAACCAGGATCTTGAAATGAACCCTGAAGTTGACTGGCAGCCAGTGAAGCTGGAGGAGAAGCGGGGTGATGTGGGTGTGTTTGGAGGACTTGGTCAGAAGCCGAGCACAGGCGTTCTGAACCACCTGCAGACGGTTCAGGGAGGTTCTGCTCAGACACGTGAAAAGAGAGTTACAGTAGTCTAAGCGTGAGGAGATGAAGGTGTGGAGAACGGTCTCAAGTTCAGAGCGGGACAGAATGGGACTCAGCTTTACAACGTTTCTGAGATGGAAGAAGGAAGAGCCAACAAGAGAATTGACATGAGAATCCAGGGTGAGAGCTGGGTCAAAGGTCACACCAAGACTCCTGACAGGTGGTGTGAGAAGCAAGCTGACCAAGAGAGTCTCTGACTTTGGGAACCAGCTTGTCTGGGGAACAGATGAGGATCTCAGTCTTATCTTCATTCAGCTAAAGAAAGCTCCCAGCCATCCAGGTTTTAATAGAGTCTAAGCAGGTGTGTAACAGCTGCAGCTTAGACGTCTCATGGGGCTTAAAGGAGATGTACAGTTGGATGTCATCTGCGTAAAGATGGTAGGAGATTCATTTGAAGGAGCACAGGATGTGCTGAAGAGGAAGCAGATGGAGGAGGAAGCAGGCCCCAGCACAGAACCTTGTGGGACACCATGGGTAAGAGAGGTGGTGGAGGAACTAAAGTTGGAGACGGCCACAGAAATGGTGGCTAACTGGTGGTTAATATCACAACAGCCATGTGATTTATTATTTTAAATGTTCCCCCAAAACACATACTCTTATTTTGAAAATATTTTTCCGGATGAGGATCAGCTTTATCCTTAAGCTGCGAGAGCTTCGCTAGAGGTACCTCCAGGAATTAAAGTCCAGAATTTGCGAGAGCTTCGCTAGAGGTACCTCCAGAAATTGAAGTCCAGAATTGCTGGTTTCAAATGTTTCACGTGAAAGCAGCGCGTGACTGAAACAAGCCACAACAGGCTATTATTGATTTTAGTTAAGCTATACAGAACAAAACAAGTCCGGGCGTCGGATGAGAAGCCTCGCGGTCGGTTCGCCGCAGGCTTTCTTGCTACTTTGTAAAACAACACCTTACGGAGGTTTCGGGAAAGTAAAACCAGTTAGCAGCAACATAGGCCCCTTTCCTCTCGCTGCTATCAAGGCTGAAATACGAGGCGATGGAAACATGAGTCGACCACCTCACAGGAAACGCCCCCCTCATCTCCCCACGGCGGTTTCACTGCACGTCATTTCTCGCAGTCTTCGGTGACACCCTTATCGCTCCAGGGCGATTTTTCTGAAGTCAAAGCTTGTCGACTCGTTGCTGAAGCAGTTAAGGAGTATTTGAGCAGCGTTCCAGTATTTACACAGCTCCAGTGTGTTAAAAAGGATAAATACTGGACTGACACAAAAGTACAAAGTCCCAATGTCAAACATAGGTGTGGACATCATCCGACCAGCAAAGAGATTTAGACATGATTCCAAAGCTCTTTCAAGATATAACTAAACCGTAAATGACTTTTTTCTCTATTCAATACGATTTGTCAAAAATCTGAAAATGTCCATTTTAAGGTAACTTCATCGCAGTAATTTTCCACCATTTGCAAATAGATTATGTTCTTCTGCTTTTGTCTGCTTTCCCTTCCATGGTAAGTAAAAGAGTGCAGTCATAAAACCATCCAAACGCAAGTTTATATCACTAAATCCTTTTACTTGGAAAAAAATAAACATCTGTGAAACAATACAGGTACCCTATCAATCGGTCAACCTGGTGCAGCTGTTTCTCTCTGTTGCTCTACAGATAATGCAAAGCTCACCTTTTGCATTCTGTTGTGCTGCCACTTGGGTCTCTGACGCAGTAAACACTCCAAAACTTGGGAGAGAAAAAAATGTCCACCCATCAGTGATTTTAGGAATTATATGTCTAAACTGTTTGAAGAGGTGACGACACAATCACCTCTCACATGCAAGAGAGAGCTGCAGCTGGAGAAGCAGCTACTACATGCCCTACCAAAATATCAGAGCTTCTCAGCTTATAGCAGCCTGAGCAGGGGATGTGTGGGCGTGGCCAACTCCAGCTTGTTTTTTTTTCGTGTCCTGTCTGGCTGTGAAGCAAACAGAATTGATGTCTGAATGCTGGTGACAAGCCTTACAGATTTACTCTCAGGTGGAGCATCAAAGCGTCTGCTTTTAATGTTATGCCTGATACTTAAAACTTTATTGTTATCGTTTTTGAATGCTTTGTAATTCCAACCAGACACGGAGTCAGAGGTGAAAGAGAGAGGAAAAGACGGGGGGGGGTCCACATAAATAAACAATAATGAACAAGAGTCTGCTTCTAGACCTGCAGGAAGAGGAAGAATAGAAAAAAATGGGGCACACAACAATACAACAGGAGCAAGCCATCACTGTGTCAACTTGAAGAAATATACAATCAACATTGTTTAACCGAACACTCACATAATACATCATAGTGCATTTAGTGGCAACGACAGCCTTAAGACATGTGTTGAACATGCCCAAGTCCATGCTTATGAGAGCACCATGTGAGCACCTGTGTTTGTGTAAGGTTTCTCTATAAAAGTGTCCAATAGAGAGTGTGAGGGACCACAGATCTGCCCCCCAAAGATGTGTAGGAGACGGAGGGAGCTCCAAGTTCCAGGCGCTGCCCCAGAACACAGGAACCCCAAGGAGACTGCAACCATAAAGGCCCCCGCCCCCCTCGAGAGGCACAGATGATCGCCCCGAGGGGCCACAACCAGCAGCCAGCAGAGTCCCGGGAGATATCGGCGGCAAGCCCACAGGCCCACCTGCAGCCTCCCACCCCCTAGCCGGCCAAGCCCGGGACCCAGCGACCCGGGACCCAGGGGCGACCACCCCTGCCAGGGCCCCATCAGAGCCCAGGATCCCAGAACCCACCAGGCAGCCACCGGGATTGGTCAGGCAGATGCCAAAAATCTTAAACCTCCTGACTCGGGAGACACGACCCAGGAAGACCAAGGCACCGCACTCCACACCAGGTGTGGCAAGGAGAGCATTTCCAGCTGTTTTTCCTAAAGTGACAGAGCCCTGAAACGGCTCATTCTGGAAAGTACTGAAATGTTCAAGAATAAAACTGCTGGAACGTATGTGAGAGGAGTTTATTGCAAAGAACTTCATGAACGTATTGAATCGAGCATAGAACCATTGTAACATAAGCAAAGTGTCATAATATGTGACATGGTCTGGGGAAGGAGTTTAACCCAGGACATGCAGAAACACACTCACAGATAATAAAGATCAAAAAAAGGTATTTATTAATAGACTGGAACAAAAAGCGCACTGGAGCTTCCAGTGGATGAGTAAAGTCC